TTTTATACCTGATATACACTTTATACCTGATATATCTATTATACTTGATATACTTGATATACTTACTATACCTTTTTTCTTATTATTTTCTATCACCTTTTTACACGCTAACAATATATTATAATAAAAGTCAAGTTTAATTTATATTAATAAATATTTTTCTTATAATAAAATTTAATAAAATTCAAATTTTAATTTATATTATTATATATTACTTATACCTAATATACCATTTATATCTAATATATTTACTCTTATAATTTTCTATTATTTACCTATTATTTTTTCCTACAACATTTTCTTCTCCTTAATTATGAGTACTACAAATGATCTCTAACTTTATTCTAATATAGAAATTCTATAGTCGTCTTCTTTCAACAATCAATTTTTCTAAATTGATAAAAATACTTAAGTATTTGCAAGATTTAGTAAATATTTTTATACTAATTTGCTATATTTTTATTAATTAGTATTCCTATACTTGTTACATTATATTCAAGACTTACTTGTCAAATATTACTTTTATATTATTTATAATAATAATTATTGCTATTTAAATCAATAGTTTTAGCATTAATCCTTTTAACTTTTTTATCATTTTAATTGTTAAAATCGTGTCTAGAGAAAATTGCATCTCTAAAGCTATTCGTTTTATCTGCTTTGATCACAAAGATCTTTCTTGGGAAACAATAATAATACTCTAAGAAAGGATTAAAATTTTAGAACAATTGACACATTATAAAGAAAAGTTCAAAATTTTGGAAAAAGAAGTCACCAAGTTAAAAGCAGATTTGAAAACACTTTCTGATACTTATTTCCTTTACTGTTATAATAGGAAGTTGAAGTTAGAAAATTTGAATTTGAAAATAGGATGGCTCGATTAGAAAGATTTCTTCAACTATTAGGAACTCCAGCTCTAACTTCTTTTGATAGGTCCTTTTCCATCTTTAAATTCAATTAGAAGTTTGCTTTTTTTTTTATTGGTTTCAAATTTTTTCTTTTTTACTATTTGTAGATTTATTATAGGAAATATAGTAGTCATTGAGTATACTTTGTGAACCAGCTGTAATGAATAGGAAGTGCTCTGTAGGTCACTTCCATTATATTACATTTCTTGCTTGTTTCTCTTAATACTTTTTAGATTCCTTCTTCATTTCAAGGGTTCAATAATGCTTGTATTTGGACAAGTTGAGAACTGGGCTACCATGGTATCTATATTCCTATTATATAACTTGAATACTGTAATCTATACAATAGCTAAAGGATACTAATATTTTAAAAAGAATATAAAAATAAGAAATTATTCATGTAATTATAAGATAAATAATAATAATAGTAAAGAAATAAAAATAAAAGTAAAAGAATAAAATCCATCCAAATAATTGTTCAAAAATTGTTTATACAGTATACAATATAATACAAGTCAAGCTTGGATTATGCTTTAATAAAATTTAATCGAGTTAAATTTTTTATTTAAATTATGAGTCAAACTCGAACTTAAATAAAACTTGACTTAACTCAGCTCATTCGGAGTCTTAATTGTACAGAAATACATTTTTGATACCATTTTGGATAATAATTTTTTATTAAAAAGTAAAAAATATATAAAAATATAATTTTATTGCTCCTTCTTTCTCCTCCTCAGTTTCATCGACCTCAACTGATCTCTTATCGACCACCATTAATATTTCCTCAACTAGAAAGGAAAATGTTACAGGATCTGAGATCTTCTGTCATGCCTCATCATTGGAGCTGGAATCATTACTCGCCTTTCCTATCGCTTCTTCCTCTTATTTAAAGGATATCAACCACTCTTCTTTGTCTTTCTCCATCTTTCCTTCCTTACTCGAACTTCCATTTCATGAAGTGTTTTTATCGTCCATATAAGATCCCTCACTACCAATCTTGTTGGTAAATACCCTTTTAGAGTAATCATCATTCGGGATCAGTATTTTCTTCTCACGGATGTCAGCATCAAATTCTTCTTTAGGTCGTATTCCCTTCCAGCTCAGATTATACAGATCCTGTCTGATAGTGGCAATCATACTTTCTGATAGAATGTTATCGGTACTATCACGAGAGGACAGCTTCATCACGACCGGACTCTTTTTTCAACCTTTCATTTTATCCACACCGTTTCCTATAGTCTGATTCCTCGCGTGATACCTCCTGATTTTGGGCTTGATGCAGGTATCAGTTATGTTATAGTTCATTTTCTTTTCGTGCACCTGCTAAGTCAATTTTTGGACATGGTTCTTCATCCTTCTTGTTCCATCTTTTTTCGGCATCGGCTTCGGCCTCCATGACTACTTTGAGTGCTTCCACCAGATTTTTTGCACTTCTTACGGCAGGTATGGATAATAGGTCTTCCCTTAATCCAAGCGCGAGCATCTATTCAGCTGTCTTCTTACAATAGTTGCCCTCAGGATCGAGCTTTTCGAGTAACTTCGCAAACCTGCAAGTGTACTCGATAACTTTTTCGTCCTTTTCTTGTTTCATGTTCTCTAATTCTTCTTCCCACTGGTGCCGTTGCTCGAGCATCACGAATGTTGGCATGAAACTCCCTTCGCGGTCGTATTCGTCATCCCAACGAGTAAAACGATGCCAGTTCTCTTTGTACCAATCCAATACAACTTCTTAGAGATACTCACCTATTCTCCTTAGTTTTCAATTGTCCATCCAGTTATCTCGTTCGGTGGCTTCGTCGTAGAGCCTTATCCATAATCATGGATTTTCCCCTATTCTGCTTCCAAATCTTCGAATTATGAGTTTTTGAGTCCTCCTTTCTTCAACATTTGTCCCCATTTTCGGTCTGTTCGCACGTTTACTGGATTCTTTGGGATATTACGTTGTGAAGAGGCAAGGGAATCAATTTTCTTATCATCTGTTGTGTCATATTTAATGTCATATATCGTTAGTTATTACGGGCTTGTCACGGGTCTTGTACGATCGTCCTAAAGAAGGTAACGTCCTTTTTTCTTGACGATCTCTGAATTTACTAATGGTTAGTAAAGATTTCCTGTTGGTTTCTCTCCTTTCTTATCTTTCTCACAACTAACACAATCTTCGTTCGCGCAATTTATCGGGAGGGGAGGTAACAAGCATTCAAATCTCACAGTTACCACCAAATACTGTCGTCACTGGCGAGTCTGTTGCTAAAACGGCTCACTCTTCGCGTGACAATAACCCGAACACAAAAACGTTTACTTTGATGTAGTGGCGTGAACTTAGTGTATATTTTAAAGAGTGTATCTTGTTTATTGATCAAAGTGAAATAGCATTTATTTTTATTAAAGTGCGAGTGTGCAAAAACAAACAAGTGTGCTAATACGAAACTCTAAAATCGCGAAATTCGAACCCTTTTTCCAAGCTGCCTAAACTATTTTATTTATATGCCTTGTTGATGCGTCCATCCCATTACATGCTATTACCAATTATTACATCATTGTTATTATTATTACACGTCACGCCACAATATCACATTCCCATTCCTATAGTTCTCTTAACGATTCAGAAATATCCCCAACGTTGCGAGCGACACGAAAAGCAAAATGTAATGAACCAAATAGATCTCTATATATAAGCGTCTCCTTTTCTCTAGAAAGACTTAGATAATTTAAAACTCTAGAGAAGTAAATCAGATTTATAGCTAATATTGATTTTGTCCAATAATAATCATTTCCAGAAAGAAGAGCCATATTCAACATTTGGATTACTGGTGTCCAAGTGGAAATAAATATAATATTCGCCTTTTTTAAATAACCTACTATTTCCCAGAAAGTATGATTAAGGATATTAAAGGTTTTAGGGTTGAGCCAATATATCTGAGCTATTATAAAAAGAATCAGCAAAATCGTACACAACATTCCGGTTATGGCATGTAAGTAGATAAAAATATCTGTGAAATTATTTGCAGGGATATTCTTGGTATAAAATATGAAACAAATATCAGAAATGACATGACTTAAATTAATTACTAAAAGGGAAAATGCAAGTGTCTATTGTTTCAAACCTCGAGAGTCATAATAATAAACAATAGAGTAATAAGTAATGTAATTAGATAAGGTTGCAGTGAAAATCAAGACAACTGTAACTCCCAAAATGATTGAAATCCAGATGGGTATTGCGAATTTCTCATAGTTTTTGTAAAACACTATAGTTGGTAAAACAAAAAGGGACAATAATAAAAGGAAGGCATCGAAAACTTGTCTAATTTTAGCAAAAGAAAGCTCTCGTCTAATTCTCATAGACACTTGTTTGGATATTCCCTTGTCTGAAATTTCATTTGTCCCGTCTGGATTTGTCCCATCTGAATGCTTCAAAATTACTTTATCCGAATCTTTTACTTTATCTTTATTTTCAAATAAAAAAACTATAAGTGCGGGAACAAGCGTACCAATTATTTGATCAAAAACATCTTGTTTAGAATCATATTTGTCAGCAAAAGCTGAATTAAAAGATGACAAAAGAATAATTCCAAAGAGAAAATTTCTTATGTGATGCATTTTGTTGGATAGTTGTAACAAATAGGTGGGTAAATATACTGTAAATATACTAAAATAGAGTAGTCCTGTTTAGTATTTTATATTTCCAAAAAAGATAAACGAGGTTAGTAAATCTCAAATATTGATTTGAGATTTACTTATCAAGCGATCACAATAAATACTCGATTTTACTTTAAGTAACCTCCAATAAAGATTGTTTGGAGTACAATATACTATCAAATAATAGGAAAAGACACAATAAAAATTTTTTTTTGGTAATCCACAATAAATATTCTAGCTTGCATATTAATGAGACCTACTTTAAGTAATCTCCAATAAAGATTGTCTGGAGTACAGTTTGCAATAACATTTTAATGAGACCTACTTTAAGTAACCTTCAATAAATATTGACAATAAATAAATCCACAAACTAACATGGGTTATTGTGTTATTTTGTGCATATACACCAAATATCTGTATTCCGATTACATAGTGCCTACAACATTTCACTTTTGTTATCATTATTACTTATAAATAGACTATACAAATGATATCATCGTAAAGGCAATTCATATAATATTTAATGTGTATTAAAGAATCTATATCTTTGGCATAATTATTATCAATATGTTGTGTTTAAAAATTTCGCGATAAAGAGGTGTATGGCGTTTGTTAAATTATATAACACGAAATGTAAAGAAATTCAACGCTTGATTGTGATGCAACTAAAGAAGATACAAATGATAATTATAATTATTTTGTAGCAAGATATTCTCTAGATGTTTGAAATGATGGTTAACTCTAAGATAAGTTGGATATCACGTAAACACAATTTTGCTTTCCTCATACTTGAATATGTTTTCCAACTACTGTATTATTGTACAAAATAAAGAATAAAATAGTGCCTTATTAGTCAACTAGCTCGTTTACCCGGGCTATGCTCCGGGATTAAGTATGCTAGTGTATTTTATATAGTATATATATAATAAATAATAATATTGTATTGATAAAAAATAAGTTTTTTTTATATAAATAAATATAATAATCTATAA